GGGAGGGGATGGGGGGTGGAGTGGCAATCAGGAGGAGATCCATAATAATGCAAAAATCAAAGGAAGATTGATGGAAGGAGTTTGGGATATTATTCTTTCTTTTATTTTTATTTTTGATAAAGTTATTATTATTATTATTATTATTAGAGATAAAAGGTGAATTAATGAGAGGGTTGCACTTAGTCAACTCAATTAATCATTCTATTATGTACCTTCTTTTTCCATTCCACCATTTCCCTTTTCCTTTCTACTAATAATAAACTACAAATTTAGCTCCATTCACTATTTCAATACTAAACTTTTAAGGAGAAAAAAATTTACACTATTATAACTTTCGACTTATTGAAAAAGGAATTAGTATATTGGAGTAAGTTCGCCACTCTTATTTCTAATTCTTGTTTCTCATTTCTAATTTTTGAAAAACATAACTGATTGGTAAGTATTTATTTTTCTTGTTCCTCGTTTTTAAGAAACGTTTCAAAAATAAAATTAGGTAGATATTTTAGAAACAACGAAATCAAATTTTTGTTTTTCTTTTTTCATTTCCATTTTTTTCCATGAATAAGAATATTATTTTATTATGTATTAATTTACAAAATACATAAATGGTGAACTAACATGTATCTGTTTCTTGTTTGAATAAAAAAGAATAAGAAACAAGAAACAATTGTCGAATCTAGTTCTGTTTTTATTTTATTAAAAAAAAAAACAAGAAACATAAAACATAAATGAGAAACAAGAAACGGGACCCGTTTAGTAATGATGTCGTTTCTTGTTTCTCCTTTAAAACTTTATTAAGAAATTTAAGTATTTTGCAATTATTTCTGGTTCATTTGGTAACATTCTATTTTCCTGTTTCTTGTTGAGACATGTTTTCTAATATATATCTTGCGCTAAATTACATAGAACTAAACTATGATCGGGGGTGCATGCGTACACCTACATTCCAATTTTTTAATACAATATGTGAGGGTAGGATTCAAACTCTCAACTTTTGGTTGGAGATTGGTGCTTTAACCAATTGAATTACGTTCTTTTTCGTCCTAAATTCTATTACTCTCTCCCACATCTCGAGTTTAATCCCCATGACATGCGCCCTTGATTATGAAAAAAAAAATTAATTTATATTTTAGTCTTAAAGATTTCAAGATTCTTTTAAAAATACCCTAAAGATTTCACATCTAACTAATGTAAAGGATAATTTCTCAACCCTACGACATTTTGAAAATTTATAGCACTTTTTTTTTACAGAAAATTTATAGCAATTTTAATATCCTAGGTGGGAGGCAAAATTATTAATAAAAAAAATAGCACAAGTATATTCGTTAATTTTATTATTTTAAGGTTTTGCTCACCTCTATTTATTATTATTATTTTTTAATTATTGTACTTGTATGATCAAATCAACTTATACAAATGTGAAAATTACAAAGAATAAACCTAATTCAAAAGCCTAATCTAACGCTAAACGTTTGCATAAAGAAATGGTAAACAGTATGATCCCATATGATATTATTAGGTAGTCTATGACTATTATTGGTTAAATAATATTTTGGTTGAAAAGTTTTATCGGTATTTTCATGTTTTGAATTTGAAATTTTAAAATACAGGATTATATTTAAAAATATAAAAACTTATATTATTCATGTCATAAACTCATTTGAATTATGGTAAAATTAAAAATATACAATATAATATATTATAAATTATATAATATTGTAAAATAACCATTCTACAAAATTTATAACATATATATTAATAAATCAATTAATATTACTTTTGATCGAACTAAAATATTTAGTTTGGTAACTATCACTACTTTGCAAACATATTACTAAACACATTCAATTTTCAAATATGATATCAAACACATATCCGAAAATACTGAAAACATAGAATACAACCATATTTTATTGAATCATTTGTTTTTAAATTTCTATTTGGACGAGGAATTAGAAATTTTTCTCCATAATCTTTTTTTCCTCTAGATTTAAAATAGATTCACTAAGTATTATAGCATGTAACTTTATCATTAGCCAATTTTAATATTTACCCAATACTGAGAGGTTAAATTGAAAAGAAAAAAAAACTCAAAATTATGAATTAAAAAAATGTATTTAAGTCAAAATTAAATAAATATATAATTTTAGAGCCAAAATAGAAATATAAAATTACATCAAGAGAGAGGAAAAAAATCTTGATATAGGGATTGAGAACCACAAATTTTAGGGGGAACATTAGAGGGAACTGTAGGGTGTGGTTAGGGACGGCGTGGCATTTCTCTCACCCAAACAGAACCGTCCGATTCGGATAAGAAGAGTGATGCAACCAATAAAGCGAGACTATTACACCACAGTACGGTGCACCATATCACACTGAATCATCATCATCATCATCATATGTAAAAAAATAAAAAGTAAATAGCTTTTATTAACGAGNATCATTTCTTATCTTTATCCTTTTTTTTTTACTCTTATTTACTCAATTTCCTTCTAGTCAATTAATAGAAAAAAATCATGCTTGTTTTTTTGGTTTTTTCAATAAAAAAATCATGCTGGTTAAAGTTACTCTTTCTTGTTTTTACTCTCTAATAAATAAAAATAGAACTGTATTTGTATTTGTATTGGTGGGCTGTTCTTACTTTTTATTGAAAATTTAAATAAAATATATTTACTAACTATTTCTTATTTTTCCGTGATCTAAATTTTTTAACTAAGAAAGATAAAATTTTATTTTTTAGAATTAGAATCAGAATGTTTATGTTGTATTTACCATGTATTTGTACCTAAAGAATAATGATAATATTTATGTATGTGGTTTGAAAAAAAAAATTAGAAACTATTATATAAAAAAGAATAAATTTGATTTTATTGTTTCCAAAATTTTTACACAATTTTATAAACGTTTATTAAGATTATGAATGAGGAATATGAATATTTAACAAACACTTTTAGAAAATAATAAATATAAACGTTATTTACTTAAAAAAACAAAATTAAAATATGATATGATTTTGTTCAACATTTTTTCTAGATTATGGCTTTAATTTCAACCAAACATGTCCATTGATTTTAAGGTTTTTATTACTTTAGACTTTCTATTTCTCTCTGTTTTATCAGCGTCTAATTATTATAACATGTGACATTACAAAAGCAATTAAAATAGAGCTGGTTGTTTAAATCTCTTTAATTACACAATCTATTTAATTTTCTATTAATTTTAATCAAAACATGAAATATTTCAAGTCACTTTAGTTGGTTTTAGTCAATTTCGATCAATTTAATCTATCATGGTGAGTTTGACAATCATATCAGATATTACATCACTTGCACAAGCTTTAATAAATAGAAAGAGGTTAGTGAATAATAGTTCATGTATTAAATTTTCTCCCGCAATTGTATTGGTATAGTTCCTACATTGACATGAGAAGTAAATCAATATTTAAAAATATAAAATATTAATAAAGTAGCACTAAATACGGACATAATATTAATATTAATAAATTTAAATTTGTTTAAAAATAGTTAAATGTAATTTTAAATATTTATTATGATTTTTTTAAATAATATTTTAGATATATCCATCAAACATCGACATTTAATCATATTACCACAAAATTGAAAACCTCAACATTTTAATATACATCATCCATATTTAAAATATTGCCTTGAAGTCACATAAATGCCTAAAATATTTATAAATTATCTAAAAAAGTGACAATTTAAGTCAAATTAAATATGATCTAAGTGGTTATGCATCTATACCTCCCTCCTCACTATGAGTTCGCATATTGAATCTTCACCTATTCACTTACGATGTAATATTCAAAAGAAAATAGAAAATAAAAAATTTATCCTTGATTTTTACAATGCGTCTTAATTTTTACTACTATAAACTTTCAACATGGCGGACTATACTTTTAGTTTGGAATAAATGTTGCAATTTTACATTATGTTGTATTTACTTGCACATTTCTACCATGTTCAATGTAAAAATTTTCCAAATTTACTAATTTAAACCAAACAAATGAATTACATAAAATCAAAATCGTAGCAAATCCATGCATAAGATGTTGACCAACTTGAACAAAATTTATCAATATTTTTTCCAAAAAGAAACAATAAATTTTATATTATACATTCTATTTGTAATCCACTAAACACAATGTAATAATTCCTCTTTTTTTTTTAAACAATTCTTCAAATATATATCCAACAAAATGTAGATTCAATATGGACTCAACTTACGAGGCTATGAGCTTCCAAATCAAAAGTAAAAATAGAATTTTTCCCATAAGAGGAAAAAATAAAAGGTGACAATCCAATAAGAATTTAATGAGGACATACATTAATTGATTAGAAAGAAAGAAAGTAAAAGTAAATATTTCAATAATTTAAGAGGGGAAAAAAAAGAAAAAGAAAGGGGAATTATTTTTTGAGTGAAGGAAGGAAGATGGAAGAGGCCCACTGCTGCGAATAGAAAAATACTGTTACTCGCTCGGGAAAGCTGAGTTATTAGGAGAGAGCATTAACATTCGACCCACATGGAGCTGTCTCCGTCAAGCTCAATCACGCTCACGTACGAACGGGTGTATCCTATCATGGCCTCATCACAGTTACGGATGGCAGAGTCGTAATTTCGCCCAAAATCAGTGTCATTTCTCTGACAATTGATTTAAAAGACTTTGGCAGGGATGAGAGAGAAAACAGAGTGTGGGGCCCTCCGCCTCTCTCTCTTCGAAACAAGAGATAAGGACACATGCATGTTCACCCATGGTTAAATCTGGTCCGGTTAAAAACTAACCATGGTTACCTTTCTCAACTCAAAGCTCTTCCTCCGACTCTCTCTTTCGGCTTCTTCAGCACCAGTTCGTTTTTTCAGTGGGAGAGACGAC